TAGTCCCGGAGAGTATATCAAAATACACCACACATCCACACAAATGGGTATTACTTAAGGACTACCAAGACGTCACACACATGGGGGAAGCTATTTACTATTTCACATACGACCTAATTGAACAAAATTTTTGACAGAGAACATTTTTCATTATCTATTCACTCTATTGTAGTGTTGTGCTATTTATTCCACACATAATTGGTCAAGTGTGGTAATGAATCCTGATATCCCGGATGGCAATTAACTCATTGTGTATTTGGGGCTTTGTATTTTATTATTATTTTACTTTGTAGGTGGCAGGTCTTGTAGCCATTCTTAGGATGTTTCTCCATTATGGCTTCAATAACAAATTCAGTTCTGCATATCCAGTTGTTGATCACAATATGTCTGTATATAAGAAGCAGAACATCACAGAACCGGTGAAAGCTTATAGGCCTCCACACATGCGAAATAAGAATTTCCAAAACCATCAGCAGATGCATGAGGAATCTCATAGTTCTACTGACAAACCTGAATGCTTAACAGGTTTCCGATCATCATCTGACTCAGAAAACAGTGATAGCGATGCATCAGGGAGAGACAGTTCCTGTGTTCGATATGGCAAAACTCGACTGGCTGCAATTCTGTGCATTCAAGTAGGTCAATGCAAACTCGTTTTTAGCCCAGTTCACCCAGTTGCATTATCTGGTTTTTGTGGAGTTATCCACTCTTTGTAGCTTGTGTAACCACTATAGGTGAAATTTGTAGTCCTTGTATTTCGGTATTTCCTTTTGGTTCAATTTCTTGGTTCCACCTTTGGTGTTGCATGATGATGTATCAAGATGCCACAGCCTGTGATATTGAATCACAAATTTTAATGGTGTGAATTATAAAAAGATAATGTGTGTAATAATTTTGGTTTATCTTGATGGGATAGTGGGTTTAAAGCCTTGATATGTACATGTATGTACTTGGTTCTTAATGAATCATTTGCGAGACTGTTGTAAACTTACCAGTACTAATGTATTAACTTTTTGGGTTTAATGCGAAGGACCTTTGCCGTTCTGATCCAAAATCATTTACTACCCAATGGATAAGCCTTTTGCCATCCAGATCCAGTGATGTTTTACAGCCACGGTTTGTGATTGCTTCTTCATTACATAATTGAGTGTTTTAGTAATTTTCACTTACTAAATTTTAGTTATACTCAGTTTTACATCCCCCCAATAATCCTATCTATACATTTTGTTTTCATGCCTCCATGTGCATCTTTTCTTCTTGTTCATTAAATTAACAAATCTCTTAAAACCTTATGTGCAGGAGATATGAGGGGACACTAATGAGTTGCTTGCTGTTTGATCCGTATATGAAGGTTTTTTATTTGCACTTCCTTTTTCTTATTAGCGTATTCCTTTTAGTTTAAGATTCCTTTGAATCCTCTCTATGCATCTTGTTTGACTTGCCTGTTCACATTAAAAGTGTATGATATCAGTTAGCAACTTAGCTCATCCACCTGATCCGAATCCAATTAAAGTCATTAGAAATTATAATAATGAATTTTGCTGTATATGAGAACACACCTGAATATATTATGGTTTTTGGAAACTATGAACAAGTTGCTTACTGTTAGAGCCTTATATGAAGCAGTGTTCTAAAAAGCTCTAGATCCAGGCCCTCACTTAGTTGGAGCCTTGAAATATTAGCTCAAATGTATAATGATTTTACGTTTTAGATGATTAAATTTATGTTATGGACATAATTAATTATCCCTTCTGTCCCTCAAAACATTTCTAACATACCTAATTTTTTGTGTCTAAAAAAGTGACCCTTTCTAGAAATCTCAACCACAATTTTCTTTTTCTTAATCTCTATGCCCATCAAGCTTGGCAAAGTTTTGTGGGACAGAGAGTAATGTTTAAGAAACTCAATACCCAAATGAACAATTCATCTACACCTGCCCAAACAACATCTCAGTTTTTATGATTGGATTGCAAACATAGATCAATTTGATCCCAGGATCCTTGAAGAAAATGAAACTGCCCAAATACTAGACAATGCCTCACATAAACTCCTGTGCATGTGCTCCTTTGTTCTTGTTAGATCATGCGGCATATACTCATTGTCACAAGACTATATTGATGGAAAAAAACCTTTTCTTTTTTAGGTTCGAATTGCTTCTGCCTCAACTATTAGGGCAATGTTGGATGCGCCTTCCTCTGTTTTTCTCCAGGTCGCAGAATTCAAAGAATCCACAAAACCTGGGGCCTTTACCTCTCTTTCAAGCTCCCTTGGGCAGATATTAATGCAACTACATACAGGTATGGTATGCTAGCATGTTTTGCCAAATGCCAACTCAATATGCTTTTGACTCCAATAAAAGTTGTGGCTTTCTGTATTGCTTTCAGTTTTTGTTTCACTCTTACGATTTTTATTTTTGATATCTACCTTAAGGTGTATTATACTTGATCAAACATGAAGCTCATAACGGATTGCTGATATCTTTGTTCAAAATCCAGTTGCTCTTGGTATCATGCACTCCGTAAGAATCTGCCTCTTCCATGTTTTTACTACTCTTGCATAATAGCTATACTTCTAGATGGGAAAAGGAGAAAGTGTAAATTGTTAGTGATTAAAGTTGTCTGTTTAAAAGTTTATGTCATCCAACCTCTTATTTTCTCTACCTGGAGACTCTTTTAGAGTTTCATCTTTCATTGAATGTTCAATCCATATTCTTGTTCTAATGACATACCTTAGGTTGGTGATTAGTGAGTAGTCCAAAATTTGAAGTACCATCCATTAATCATTACCAGTATTGACAAAAACGTCATTTGGTCTCAAAATGTCAATTATCCAATGTGTAAGACAAAAGAAAATATATTAACTCATCAAGGGTTCATGATATTTTCCTTGCATGTGGAAATAACCTACAATGATGAGGGTTTTAAAAGTTTAAATTTGCTATTCCTTGATTCCTTCTTATAAAGGTTTCCTTGCATCTGGTGTAAAACATTGCCACTATTCTTTTAGTGCATGAACTCCAAGTATTAATTAATTTGACACATTTAATTGACAATATCGAGAAGGGGCAAGGTCTGCGTACACACACCCTCCCCTAACCCTACTCTCATGGGATCCAACTCGGCTGTTGTGTTATTGATACTATAACTTCAATGCAACCTATGGTGCTGCCGTGATAATATCATCTGCGGGGGGCATGAGCACATAGATACTAGGGTAGCTATTAATTTTCCCCTAATAGTGAACATGAGACTCAACAAGCTAGATTTGTTTCTAACACTTTTGTTAATCACTAAATTGTTAAAAATCACTATTTGAAATTTCCCCTACTTTCATATCTTCTGGCTTTTAAGGCTTTATAGTCATTCAATGATCATTATGTGCTAAAGCACCCTGCCGTTGCTGTGATAAGTAATAGTGGTAATATGTTTCTAATTTGGTTATCAAATTTAATTTTTACTTCCGATTTGTGATTTTTAATACAAACCCTCATCTTTTATTTTCCCTATTTAAATTCTAAGTTTTGATGTATGGAAAATAATTATTTTCAGATATTCGAGAATGCCTGCAGAATTGTTGCCAACTATCATTTCTTCAATCCTAAGTAGAATTGAAGAGGGGCTTTCATTTCGAAGTGATCAGAATGTCTTATTGGTTAGTGATTATTTTCCTCATAGAATTCGTAAGGACTAAGTTCAAACCATCTATAATTACTATCACAATGAAGGATACTGTTAAGTTAAACTCAAAGCCTAACTTCCAGAGTGGGCCTAGCGTTATATATATATATATATATAGATATATATATATAGATATAAATATATATATATAAACATCCCTTTTTAATTTTTTATGAAATATTTTTGGGCAGTAATATATATATATATGTGTGTGTGTGTGTGTGTATTAACATCCCTTGCTTTTTAGTTTTTATGGGCAGAAAATGCATCAAGGGTCTTAGGGAACTAACTCTTGGTTTTGAACATAGTTATGAAAAGCGCACATGAGGCACGATGCGCACGAAGCGCCAGGAGTAGTGCATCGCCAACCTTGATGCGCGCGCTGTTCGTGAGGCGCGCGCCTTACTGTGCCTCATCGCAATATGCGCAGTGTATTGATGCGCAAAGAGGCTCGCCTTGTGAACATATGTTTTTTATTTTTATTTTTTTATTAATTAGGTTTAGGGATTAGCGCTAATATTTATTACGACTAACCCTCCCAACTTTTACGACTACAAGGAGATTAAACGGCATACCTACTGGGCAAATTAAACGATCGTTTTTTCTTTCTTTTATTTCTTCAATTCAAGTACGACTCTTCCTCCCCAGTCTCGCAAGTCCTTCTCCAAATTGGCACACCTACTGGGCAACTGGCAGAAGCAGGTTAAGTCGGCTCTCTTCCTTCTTTCGGCGTTTTTTTCTCTCTCAGGTTTCTCTTCTTTCTACTGGGCAAGTCCTTCTCTGTTTTTCATTGGTTTTTTTATAAACATATTGTTCTCTGTTTTTTTATTATTCTGTTTTTTAAACATTTGTTTCTTAACCTTTATTATGCTTTTCAAAATTATATATATATATATATATATATATATATATATAGTGTAGATACCGGTACCTTAATCTACGCCTCATGTTCGTGATGCGTGCGCATTATTTGCGCATCGCACATCGAGGCACTAGAGGTCCTTTGTGCATCGGTGTGCATCACGCCTCAAATAACTTTGGTTTTGAACATGTGTAAGGTTATCTTGACCCCTTAGGCCCCTTCGAAGTGGAGTAATCCTGGGTTTGTTGTTGTTCATAGTTGTCACGGCGGCTAGGCGAGGCTAGGCGTTAGTGTACCTTCCAGACGCCTAGGCGAATAGGCGCCCGCCTAGGCGTCCCCTAGGCGAGTGGGTTACGGCGACCTTAATAATTTTATATGTAGTAATGTAAAAACATATAGTATGGAATAAGTAATTAAAGAGTACATAGATACCAACATTATGCAAGAGAGAGTTTCAAAAAACAACACAACTTAAAGTCTCAAAGTGAATAAAGCAAAAAAGAAATGTTTCAACTTTCATATCCATGTCTCTAGTTCATGGCTAATGATTCATTAATCATTAATCATCCATGAATAAGAGCTCATCACTCAACATCTCATTGGTTGTCCTTGTTGACTCCTCGTTACTCATAGTGCACCTAATGCCATAATCATCATCCACTTCTTCATCATCATTAGGAAACACTTCAACTTCAGTATCTTCATTTTGTAAGCCTTCATCAGTCAATGACACTGGAGTAGATGCAATAGAAGTAGATGAAGTACGCCTACGGGAAAAAGTTATCAAATCATTTTGAGATGTTTGAGTGTTTGATCTACTGGCGGCTGCCCTGGGCAGATTGCGACCAAGAATATTACTTGATGCACCAATGGCTTCATCAACATGTGCCCATGGAAGATCACTTCCAGAATGAACCGCATCTGCATTGCTATCAACCCATTCGTTCTCTCACTGAAAATCATCGAGGCACAATGGGTTGTAGTTACTTGATTTTTCCCTTTCTTCTCGCAGCTTTTGAAACCTTGCTGCAATTCTCCGGTTGTATTGGATATAAACCAAATCATTTAACCTTTGATGCTCCAACCTATTTCTTTTTTTTTGTGTGAATCTAAGGAAAAGTTTATAATTAAACATGTATAAGAAATTTAGAATAAATATTGAATTTTAATAATTAGGCTAATTACTAATTAGTGGTTTGTAACTTACGAACTCAAACGTGCTCCAATTGCGTTCACAACCAGATGAAGAACAACAAAGGCCTATGATACGCTTTGCAAACTTTTGGAGGTCTCGCGCGTCATTACCAAAAGCCGCCTACCAATCAACTACAATATGATTTTAAATATTATAAAACCAATGTATGTAAAAAAATTAATATTAAGTGAAGAATATGACAATACGTACGTGGAGTTTTTGTTTTCTGTTGTTTGACTGTCAATGATTTTCCAAATGTTCCTCGCATGGAAGAATAGTCATCAGCTTGATTACTTATCTTTTCTTGTACTCCTTCATCAACAATCATTTTCTCCAACACATCATTGAACATGGAACGTAGATCCCCTGCGTAATCTGGATCCTTTATTTTTAGGTCGAAAAACTTGTCAGGTGATAGATATAATGCAGCCCCATATAGCTTTTGCCCCATTTGACCCTCCCAACGAGTTATAACAATGCCCAAAACTTTCTTCAACAATGCTTGCTTATTTTTGAAAACATCACGGAGCTTATCTTTCGCCACAACCATTGCCGCAGAAACCTCAGTGATAGCAGGCCTTTCATCATCATCGACTATCCTCAACACAACTAGTAGTGGTTGCGATGCCCTCAAACAATCTTCCACCCCATTCCAAAATGTGGTGGAAAGAATAATATCTTGCACATTTTTGCCTCCCTCTGTTTTAGCCAATTTGCACCTGTTCCAATCATCACAAACAAATAAAGTTCTCAAAGGATCTTTGTACCTGTACATTGATTGCAATGTAAGAAATGATGTGGCAAAGCGAGTCACTGCAGGCCTCACGAGATCCCGTCCCCTTGTCTTCTCCCTCATTGCATCAAGGAGTCTACCATGTCGGTAGATGAATCTGGTGACACGCTTAGCACTAACAATAGTACCCTTAAGCTCTTTCAAGCCACAAATGTCTTCCATCATAAGGTCAATGCAGTGTGCAGCACAAGGTGTCCAAAATAAGGTTGGGGTTATCCCCATTAGTTGTTTCCCTGCTGCCTTATAATTAGAACCGTTATCAGTCACCACTTGCACAACCTTATCCCTCCCAATTTCTTCTATTTGTTTGTCCAACAAATTTGTCAACAAAGTCGCATCATGAGATTCACTCGAGGCATCAACAGAACCCAAAAAAAATGTCCCCTCCGGACTATTGACTAGAAAGTTGATCAAGTGGCGACCCCTTTTATCCGTCCATCCATCCGACATAAGCGTGCAACCGTACTCTTTCCATGCAATCTCGTGCTTCTCTTTTAACTTGTCTGTCTCTTATTTGGCCCGTTTTAAGAGAGGCACTCGCAAATCATGGTATGAAGGAGGTTTTAGTCCAGGACCGTATTGCCCAATGGATTCAATCATTATCTCATATGCCCTTGAATTTGCAACATTGAAAGGTATGCCACATTCATAAAAAAAATTTGCTATATGCATGTAAACTCTATCCTTCTCTTCTTGGGTCCTTGTAAGTTCTTCAAGTGTTTGTTGTTGTGGGCCTTTACTATGTCTGTCTGCGACTACTTCTTCAGGAGTCTTTCTGATCATGCTTGTAATGGACTTAGTGACGTTCTGTGTTGGCTTTGCAAAGTCCATCATAGTTCGTTTTCTTTTTGCAGCAGTTCCTGAGCTAGGTTTGGGGGCGGTTTCTGTGAGTGTGCTACCCGAAATTGGTACTTCACTCCCATTTGCATCTTCTTTGTCCAACACAATGGTCTTATTTCTCTTATTCGAATTCAAGTAGGCATCCATCTGTCTCCTGATTGAAGTGGTAGTCTTTTGGCATATAACAACATCTCCGTATCCTCCGCCGAGATGTTGTTTGAATCGCTTGATTGCCCCGCTAATTGGCCGATCACATAAGATGCATTGAATCACATCTTTATTACTACGATTCGGCCAAAAACCATATTCCCATCCTGGATCATTGGAGCTGGCCTTGTTCTTTGGATTCTTCGATGGGTCATCATACTCTTCATTTTCGTTAGGTTCAGCCATTAAGAATCTGAAATATATGAATAAATATTGTTTGAAAAAAAGAAATTTAAAAAGATACTAAAAAAAGTTAAGTACCAAAAGAAGAGGAGAGAGTAAAAAAAGGATAAAAAAAAGTCTTTTCTGGAAAAGTACTCTCTGCCGAGAAGTACTCCAACAAATAAGTGCCAAAAAATATATAAAAACTGAATCTAAAGCTATGCTTATGTATCGGAACCTTAAAGAAACAGAAACAATTGAATCAGAGAAAGAAATAGAACTAAGACCTGTTGACTGCCTAGATGCGCCGATCGTTCCTTTCCAGGGATGCCTTGATGCGTCGTTCGTTGGAGATAGATGAGGAAACTCAGCCGCGACGTTGATGCAGAGAATCGGAAAAGAAGATGCGAGAGAGAGAGGGTTATCGAAACTGGAGCAGTAGACTCGAAGGGATGTTGACCGGCTAGGTTTTATTTCGTTATCGCAAGTGGGCTTTTAATTTTTTTTAAAAAATAACGCTGGGCGTCGCCCACTCGCCTAATCGCAGCTTCCAGACGCCAAAAGGACGCCAAGATCGCCCAGGTAAAAAAAAGCTAGGCGTGAGGTTAGGCGTCCATATCACCTCGCCCAGACGCTTAGGCGTCGCCTAGGCGACGCCTAGGCGACGCCTTGATAAGTATGTTGTTGTTGTCTCTATGCGTGCGCGCGCGTATGTTATTCATGGGTTCAGTTTTATGGGAATGAATAACACTATATTTATTGTCACTTTTAAAGAGTCATTTTTTACAATGTTATAGCTTTAGGTAAATAATGGACTACATCAAAATGGCAAATTAAACACCCCTTGCCTTTTTACTTTTCTATGATGTTTTGGGCACTAAATGTGTCAATGCATCAAGGATCTTGCGGAAACAACCTCTTTGTTTTTGAACATTTGTAAGGTTATCTTGACCTCTTAGACTGCAACACCGTTGGGGTTATCACATGGGTTCAGTCTTATGGGGATCAATAACACTATATTTCTTGTCCCTTAAAATGTATGATATTCAATATGAACTATAAAAATTATATGTTTCTAATAAGGAATGGTATTAATATCATTAAACAACTTGATTTCACAAATTTATTCCTATAGACATATTTCACTTGTTCGGATTTTACTAGGTTGCTTGGTTATTGTTGTTTCTCCATTACACATTTTGTGAACACAATCGAGATTTGTTACACTCAAGCTAAACACTACTTTGTTTTGTGGCTTTTGTGATTTTATGGTTCTGCTAGCGTACTTCAAAAAATGATTTAAAAATGCCAAGTATGCAAGCCCAACCCAAGATCACAAAATCATGAACTGTGAAAAGCTCTCACTATTTCAACTATAAAATAACTTGTTTCTGTAGATCGCTACTTTAGAATAATTAGTGTGTGACCTTAACTCTAATGGGCAGAGTTCAATTATAAATTTATAATGAAGGTTAACACCTCTAAGCACTAGATTATGTGATATAAATAGAGTACTCTTGTTTTTATTTTATATCACGAAAATATTCAAAACCATTAATACACTTGTATTATTTTTCTCTTAATTTTTCAACTCAATTGGTATAAAAGCTAGATTCCTAGGCTATTCCTTCTTTAAAATTTCCAGTTGTTATTTTGGCAAAAAGGAAGGTGTAAACTTTATTTCGAGACGGAGGGAATATGTGGTAAGCTCAGTCATTTTTTAAACTGTAGTTTGACATTTTCCTCTACTATTGCAATGAGAATATGCCAAACCGTGAGCAAACACAATCAGCATTGGGCTCAAGACCTTGAGTTGAAGGGCTTCTATTATCTCTGTCCTCTAAATTGAGTCGTACATACGTTCACTAGGTCTCCCATAGTCATTCATATGTGTTTGGCTCATTCAAGTGATGATGCACAGTAACACTGTTCTTACTCATACATAAACATACATTGCTTCTAAACATGGTTATCTATGCGACAAGTCAAGTCGAGTCGGTGGAGAAGAGACTAGTGGACTAGTGGACTAGTCGACAAATTACAATAAGTAATGACATTTTTACAATTATATATTTCTTCATTCACCAAGGATAATTATCAAGGGAATATATATTTATATGATGAAGTATCATTACCATAACAAAATTATGTTTAAAGGTAGTACATAAACTTACATAACAAAGACAATGTAAGGAACAAATATCTTTAAATTTTCAAGCCCAACAATCTAACAAAGATAACAATTAATCAATACAAAAACAATATATTAAAATATTTGTTTTATATGACACGGGTTTGCTCTCATTAATAGTAAAGACTATGTTTTAGATTCAATAAAAGTGCACTTTATTCTTAAAAAAAAGTAAAAAAGCAGATGTATATGCCTATTTTTAGGAGGGAGTTTTTTTAAAAGCCTTATTAGAAAATTAGGTCTAGCATAGATAAGCCCACTAAGGTTTGAACCAACCCAAATATTATGACCTATTTGCGTAGCCGTAAATAACAAAGAGAGAGAGAGAGAGAGTGTTTGACATCCGCTTGACAGAGTGAAACGCGATCGGTCCGTAAGTCGATTGTGGCCACAATAATGAAATCGGAGATGTAAGTCTTTCTTAATCCTATCTTCTTCTTCTCTTTCATCTTCTCTCAGTCATGGAGCCTTCTGCATGCATTTCGGGATTTTCAAGGTCTCCAAGCCGTCTCTGTGCAACATAGCAGTTCTAGGCGCTAGTCGATGGTCAAGTCGACCTCTCCAAAACGACTGGACGACTAGTTGTGGACTAGTCGGCGACTAGGCGACAACTTAACAAACTGCTTCTAAATGAATATTGAATAAATCCTCATCTGTCTCTACTCTCTACTCCTAAAAGAATAGAGTTGCAAACTGAAGATTGTACTAGAAATTATATTCTTGAAAGTCTAAAAGTACATAGCTCTAGAGGTGCGCTGTAGAAAAAAAGACATTTGACCTTTTATAATCGGAAAACACATGACGGCTTATCTCTCCTTCTCACATGTAATCTCCTCCTTGATCTTGTAACTTCTGTTTCTTTCACTTTTTTCTATTCTTTTTATTTTTCCACTTCTTCCGTATCCTTTTGCCTCACACTGTATTTGTCTACTCCTAAGCCTACATAACCAGATTTAAAATCCACCTCGCTGCAAGATGCCTCCTTTGTCTCAAATCCTGTACTGAACAGGACCACATCCCAAAGGATTGCAATTATAGCACAGTAATCTGGTCCCACTAAGAGCGTGCTCTTTATATTCCAAGAAGAACTATGAATTGACTGAAAGCTTACCTCCATCTCTGGTGGAAGATGGTGAGGAGAAGCAAAGATTTAGCCCTCGTCATTCCGATCCTCTCATGCTTGATCCTCTACAGAATATGGAAAGAATTGAACAAAAGACATTACGAAGAAATCAGCACAAGTGCTCAAAAAATCATCCTTTTCATTTCTTATGATATTTTGCAGCAGGGAGGCTCAAGTAATACCTGAAAAAAAGAGCTATGTTGAGAATCCCACATGTTATCTGCCCACTCGAGCTGCCAATGGTTAATGTCATCCAGATTTTGCGTTGGCTTCCTCCGGAAAGGCACACAAACTTTGTTACTACAGATTTCACGTTCGATAGAGATGAACTAGCGAGCGGAGCAATTCTAAGAAATGAAAGAGGGGACTTCATTGTCGTGTATGGTTTCACCGTTAGAATAGATGATCTGGAAATTGGGAAGGGATAGCAGTGCTTCAAGGACTATGTTGGAATTTGACCGTTACCAACTCTATTACTTTGCACTTGTACAATAAATATGTGGTGGACCCCATCAACCAACCGCACCAAGCTCAACCTTCGGGAAGGATGAAAGACCTAGTGACCTACTACTAGCCCTTGCTAAAGAAAAGAATATTACTGTTCGTCACATGTTCAGGGAGGCAAATTGTGCTGTTGATTATCGCTCATTATGGTCTTCTCAAAATATGTAACCTTGTTTTCCTTGATTTTCGGCTCCTACCCCTAGTACCCAAGAGGATTTGAGGAGTCATTTTAACTGATGTAACGCTGCTTTAATTTGTTTGAAATAAAGCTGGGAAGGGTTCCCTGACCTTACCCCACTGGTTTTTGTGGTTTTCCACTGGGATTAAAAATGAAATAAAATAGTTTTTAAAGAAATAAAAAAGGGAGTAATATACATTCAAAGTTACACAACAGTCCAACGTTACACAACAGTCCATTTGGATCCCACGATATACATATATATATGTGTGTGTGTGTGTATGTGTGTATATGTGTTTATATAGGGGCTGGTTCACGTGAGAATACACCTTGGTGAAAGAAATAAGAATGAAATCTAGCCTTTGGATTTGATGCATCGTGCGGCCTAGATTGCATCCTGCGCTCAGATTTTGAGATAGTGCATTTTCAAAGGATTTTGGTGCATTTCGACATGACGCATTTTCAAACCATTTTGGTGCACCTAATTTTGATGCAATGCTGACCCTTAGATCTCACAATCTAAAGCACCAGATTCATTCTTATTTCTTTCATAAGATCGCATTCTCACCAGAACCAAAATCTGTTTATATATATATATATATATATAT